TATGTGTCTACTATAGGGACTGAAAACCCCACTTCTTCTCATTCTCAGAAACTTACATATATCACCACTGTATTTGAAAACCCAAAACTAGGAAAACTTCATAACTTAGGTTAGACAGTTGAAAGTAAGTCAGGTTGTTCCATACTCTATCCATTCCCCATACCAATACCACCAAAGAGGGCTGCTCAGCAATAGCATGGTGGACTTATGAGAGTTGCCTGGCAACCAAGATACCAGTGGTCCAACACTACAGGGAAAACAGAGTTTAAGGTTAGCTACCACCTGGGAACAGCATATTGACAAATCCATGCAGAAGAGAGTATGGTCATGAGAGTGATCAAAGGATGTTTTTTGAAATCCTTGATCAAAAGGAGGGAATGATGTGGGATATAAAATCAAAAAGAAGTATATGAGCACATAACCTAAGATAAAATGGCTGATCTAACACTAAAAGCTCAGCATAACCCTTCACACATATGTACAACCTGTTGTTTAGGAACAAACCCTATAGTAAAGCAGTATTTTCTTTGTGGTAAGGCTAAGAATGTAGATATTACGCATGATGGAGTCTGTAACCAACACCTTATTGAAACTCTTTCAGATCTTCCTAGGAGATCTTACGCTCTGGGCAAGGTAATTTTTACCATCCTGTTCTTGAAAACACCCATCATGATATTGTTTTGATCCCAGTTTTAAGACCACATAATTTGTAATTGTTTTTTAGCTAGTCCATATGTTCTAGTGTATTAATAATGTTAGCAATAGGGCTACACTTTGTCCTGTCTTTAACTGACCTCAATTGCTATAAACCAATCAGAATATTGTGTTTTGTAGTTCCTCATATGGCACCATAACTCTGTGTGACTTGTCGTTCTTGAAGCTCATATTTTGAAGTTTTAATGATCCCCCATTTGAATATCATTTTGACTTCAATAATCTCTTTGATTTACCTTTGACAGAGTCAGAGAGTCTTTTTTCTAAAACATCTGTCATATAAGGTCACTATGAGTCTCAACAACCCCACTGCCATGAAGCTGATTCTGACTCATAAGGTTTCCAAGGGTGTAAATCTTTATGGAAAGAGACTGCCTCACCTTTCTCCCACAGAGAAGCTGGTGGGTTTGAACTGCTGACTTTCTAGTTAGCTGCCTTATGCTTTAACTATTATGCTTCCAGAGCATAAGATTGCTATCCTAGGCATCAGTAAGCCAAAATGGACTAACATTGGTCATTTTGAATCAGACAATCATGTGGTCATGCCAGGAATGACAAATCGAAGAGGAATTGTGTTGCGTTCACCATCAAAAAGAACATTTCAAGATCTATGCTGAAGAACAATGCTGTCAGTGATAGAATAATATCCATATGCCTATAAGAAAGAATGTTGTTGTTGTTGTTATGTGCCGTCGAGTCGGCCCCGACTCATAGGAACCCCTCCTTGGGTTTCCGAGGCAGTATCACTATGGAAGTAGGATTGCCCAACCTTCCTTCTGAGGAGTGGCTGGTGGGTTTGAACCGCCAGCCTTCTGGTTAGCAGTCAAGTGCTTTAGCCACTATGGTACCAGAGCTCCTATAAGAAAGAATAGTTAATACTATTATTACTCAAATTTACATACTAACCACTAAAACCAAAGATGAAGATTTTTTTTAAAACCAATTTCTACAGGCTGAAAATGACCAAACATGCAATCAAGATGTATTAATAATTACTCGTGATTGGAATGTGAAAGAAGGAAGCAAAGTAAAAGCATTGGCAATTGGAAAATACAGTCTTGGTGAAAGAAACGATGCCAGCAATCACGTTAGAATTTTGCAAGACCAGTGACTTTAGTCATTGCAAATACCTTTTTTTGACAACAGAGATAGTGACTATACACATGAACTTCACCAGATAGAACACACAGGAATCAAACAGATTACATCTGTGGCAAAAGATGATGGAAAACTGAATACCATCAGTCAGAACAAGGCCATGGGCCAAATATGGAACAGACCATCAACTGCTTGTTTACAAGTTTAAGTTGAAGCTGAAGAAAAGTTTAAAACAAGTCTATGGGAGCGAAATTATGACTTTGAGTGTGTCCCACCTGTTCTATTTACCTCGTGCCTCTCTAACAAAACATACCACAAATGGGATGGCTTGAACAAACAGGGGTTTATTTTCTTACAATTTTGGAGGCTAGAAATCTAAGTTCAAAGCACCAGGTTCTAGGGGCTGGGTGAAAGCCCCTTGATCTTGGCTTCAGCTCTGCCTCCTGCTCCTGGCCCACTGAAGCCAGAGGCTTTCTTCACTCAGGCAGCTTCAGGCTCCTGAGGCTGACAAACCCAAGGTCTACAAGTAAAAGGCACAGTTCCGATGCTAACAAACTACACGGCAGGCCATTAATTCAAGTCCATTGCAAGTCCCAAGGTCAGCAGAACATGGCAGGCTGCTAAACAACATAGCTACATGCAGGGTTCAAGTGTGCTATAAGCTAGAAACTATTCCCCAAGGCTTCTCCTTATATACAGGAAGCAGATCACATCCCTAAGGCAGCTACTCAGCCCCGCAGTAGATTCCACCATGGAATTGATTACCAGTCTCATCATGGGGAATACTACATCCAGCTGCCCAGCCACTCAACCAGGCCTAGCCAAGTTGACACACAAACTTAACTACCACGCCACCTGAATTTAGAGACCATCAGAAGAACAGATTTGATGCACTGAACACCACTGACTGAAGTCCAGCTGAGTTGTAGGATTACATCAAGGATATCATACATGAAGAAAACAAAAGGTTGTTATGAGAAGAAGGAAGAAAGACCAAAATGAATGTCAGGAAAGACTTTTAAACTTGCTCTTGAATGGAGAGTGGCTAAAGCAAATGAAAGAAATGATAAAGTAAAAGAGCTGAACAGAAGATTTCAAAGGGCAGCTCGAGAAGACAAAGTAAAATATTATAATAAATGTGCAATGAGCTTGAGTTAGAAAATCAAAAGTGAAGAACATGCTCAGCATTTCTCATGCTAAAAAAACTGAAATAAAAGTTCAAGTCTCAAGTTGCAATACTGAAGGATTCTATGTAGGATTCAAAATATTGACTGATACAGGAAGTATCAAAAGAAGATGGAAGGAATACATTGTCACTGTACCAAAAAGAACTGGTAGACATTCAAGCATTTCAAGAGGTAGAATATGATTAGGAACCAATGGAACTGAAGGAAGAAGCCCAAGCTGCACTGAAGGCATTGATGAAAAAAAGCCTCCAGGACTTGATGGAATACCCATTGAGATGTTACAATAAACAGATGCAGCACTGAAGGTGCTCGCTCATTTATGCCAAGAAATATTGAAGACACCTACCTGGCCAACTGACTGGAAGAGATTCACATTTGTGCCCATTTCAAAGAAAGGTGATCCAACAGAATGAGGAAATTATGTAACAATATCATCAATATTACACACAAGTAAAACTTTGTTGAAGATAATTAGAGAACAGTTGTAGCAGTTTATTGACAGGGAATTGCTAGATATTCAAGCCAGATGCAGAAAGGAACATGGAAGGAGGGATATCACTGCTGATGTTAGATGGATCTTGGTGGAAAGCAAAGAATACCAGAAAGATATTTACCTGTGTTTTATTAACTATGCAAAGGCATTTGACTGTGTGGATCATAACAAATAATGGATAACATTGTAAAGAACGGGAATTCCAGAATACTTAACTGTGCTTCTGAGGAACCTGTTCATAGACCCAGAGGCAGTTTTCAAACAGAACAAGGAGATAATGCATGGTTTAAAATTAGGAAAGGTGTGCATCAGGGTTTCACCATAGTTATTCAATCTGCATGCTGAGCAAATAATCCAAGAAGCTGACTATATGAAGAAGAACGGGGCATCAAGATTGGAGGAAGACTCATTAATAACCTGTGACAGGCAGATGACACAACCTTGCTTGCTGAAAGTGAAATGATTTGATGCACTTACTGATGAAGATCAAAGACAACAGCTTTCAGTACTGATTGTACCTCAACATAAAGAAAACTAAAATCCTCATAATTCAGCCAATAAGCAACCTCCTGATAAAGGAAGAAAAGACTGAAATTGTGAAGGACTTTATTTTACTTGGATCCGCAATCAGTGCCCATGGAACCAGTAAAGAAATCAAAGGACCTATTGCATTAGTCAAATCTGCTGAAAAGACCTCTTTTAAGCGCTAAATGACAAAGATGACACTTTGAAGACTAAGGTTTACCTGCCTCAAGCCATGGTATTTTCAGTAGCATCATAAGCATGTAAGAGCTGTACAATTAATAAGCAAGATTGCAGAAGAAGTGATGCATTTGAATTGTGGCATTTGCAAGGAATACTTAATGTACAATGAACTGTTAGAAGATCCAACAAATGTGTCTTAGAGGAATGAGTGCCCTCGCATGGGCTACTTAAAATGTGGTATTATATAGCCAAAAAATTTTCTAAAGGAATATTTATCTCATATGCAATATGATTCAATTTCTGCAAAGAAGAGTGCAAGACAAAATTAACTTTTGTTATAGGAAACGTTTGGTTAGTTACTCGCAAAAAATTTTTTTTTTTTACAATGAACACTCATGGATGTAATATTTAAGAAAACTATATAGAATCTAAAATGCATTTTTCCAAACAATAAAGTAGCCATTATTTACTGGTAGCGTCTTGGCTTAGTGCCCTGGCAACTCCCGAAGAGTCGGCTTTCCTAGCATTCCCAGCATTTACGGTTGTGCAGACTCCACTCTCGCCGGGGCTGTTCCGACGCGTGACGTATTCAGGCCAAGACCAGACCCCGCCCGCCCAGTCCGCGCCCTTCCTCAAGCCCCACCTTCATTTCGACAGCTTCTGTTCCACCGATCACACGCCTCGGATCTTCTCTCTGGCCTTGTTCCACGAGCCTCGCTTTCACTTGGCTCTGTTTCCTCTTCTACACGGCCCTCTGGCTTCCTCAGAGTGTTTTGCTTGCGACGCTGTCGTGCAATAGCACGCTTTACGACCACTGGGACTTTGCGAGCCAGAGCCAGAGCCACTCTGGCCAGGAAGCAGGGCAGGTGGGGAGGTTGATGCCCGGCGGCGGTTCAATCGCGGCGTCTAGCCGGCTTTTCTCCGCGGCGGAGCAAAGGGGGTTCCGAGAAGCCGCAGGGTCGTTATCCAGGAGTGGGTCGGGAGTCTCCAGCGGCAGCAGAGGCGGAGGAGGTGGCCCCGGGCCGAGTGGAGGCCCGGGGGGCACAGCGGGAAAGATGAGCTTGACTCCGAAGGAGCTCTCGAGCCTGCTGAGCATCATTTCGGAGGAAGCGGGCGGCGGCAGCACCTTCGAGGGCCTGTCCACGGCCTTCCACCACTACTTTAGCAAGGCCGACCACTTCCGCCTGGGTTCGGTGTTGGTCATGCTGCTGCAGCAGCCCGACCTGCTGCCCAGTGCGGCGCAGCGCCTCACCGCGCTCTATCTGCTTTGGGAAATGTACCGGACCGAGCCGCTCGCAGCCAACCCCTTCGCTGCCAGTTTCGCGCACCTACTCAACCCCGCGCCGCCCGCCCGCGGCGGCCAGGAGCCGGACCGGCCACCGCTCTCAGGTACGCGCTGGGGGCGAGCTGGTTCCTTTCGCGGGCAGCTTTGCCCTCCAGAAGCCAAATGGGTGACGTGTATAGTTAGATTCCGCCGTTTTCCATTTGCTCCATTGAGAATTCATCCTTAAGTGAAATTAAGTCTCCTTTTGAAGTTATACAACCCCCTGGAGTATTCTTCTAAAGTATGAGAGGGAGAGCTTAATTACAAATTCATGGAATTTGAAAATTACTGCTCTCGACATCTATGCGGCTCAACATATATGTGAGGCTTGCCATTTTCAGTGCTTGAAATATGTTTCATTTTCCCTAAAGCCCATTTGAAGTGTGTGAAGTTATAACTAAAGACACACTGGGTCTATTCGCAGTTTTAATTCTCAGATGAATAGTTGGAAGTCAGTATTAAGAACCCAAAGAAGCTAAAACCGTGGTTAAGCACCATTTATGAGCTTTCCAGCCGGCGTCTTACGTCTATTAGTTGACTTTGGATAATGTGATAGGGGCAGAGGATAGTAGTCACAGATTTATGACCTAGGTTAGAAAATGTATCACTACTGAACAACATGAAATGTATGTCTGTGCAGTATTGGCAAGATCAGGTCAGTGTGTTAGATCCGGCTGAACTTTTTGGTTGGTTGGTTTTAAAGCTCAAACAGTGGATGCTTTATGAGGATTTACTGTAGGTGAAGACTTGTAGCCAGTAGAGGAGAAAGGCACAGAGGAGGTGGTGAGAGGACAAGTGTAGTAGGGGAAGCAGGTAAACGAGGGAAACAGCTTGATCTCATAGTCCTTAACCAGTGGGAGACAGGGCAAATTGCTTAACTGTTGTTGTTATGTGCAATAGAGTAGGACCCGACTCATAGTGACCCCTCCTTGGGTTTCCAAGGCAGTATCTCTACGGAAGTAGATTGCCCAACCTTCCTTCCGAGGAGTGGCTGGTGGGTTTGGACCTCCAGCCTTCTGGTTAGTAGTCAAGTGCCTTAGGCACTCAAAAGGTTACCCACTGCTGTCAAGTTGGATCTGAGTCATAGCGACCCCTCCTTGGATTTCCGAGGCAGTATCACTACAGAAGTTGATTGCCCAATGTTTCTTGTGAGGAGTGGTTGGTGGGTTTGAACCACCAGTCTTCTGGTTAGCAGTCAGATACCTTAGGCACTAAACCACCAGAGCTCCTAGTCAAAAGGTTAAGTCATACAATTAGTCCAAGGAACTGGTAGACCATGCGATCCTCAGCCTGTATAACCATGAGACCAGAAGAACTAGATGGTGCCTGGCTACTGCTGTCAGCCACTTGGAGATGGATTGGTGCAGGAGATCCTGGATAGAGTGGGAGAACAATATGGAACAAAAACTCAAAATCATTTAAAAAAAGACCAGGTTTGCTGGTCTGATAGAGCCTGGTGAGATCCCTGAAACTATGGCCCCTAGCCACCCATCAGGTCTGGAATTGAACTCACTCTCATGGCTAGCCAAACAATAGACAGGCATATGGGGTGAACATTTTCATCAGGTATATATATACTCCTTGAAGTGATGAATCATGGGAGAACAGAAGGGCAGTGTTTGCATAAGAAGACAGCTGGGGTGGGGGAATGCATGGGAGGAAAGGACACAGGGAAGAGGTAACTACTGGGAGGAAGTAGGAAGAGAGCTGGTACATTATGGGGAATTACAGTCAATGTCAGGAGACAAAATGTGTATGAACTGCCTTATGGAAAATGAATTTGCTCTGTAAACTTTCACCCAAATCACAAAAAAATATTAAAAAAAAAAAAAAGCTTAAGTCATATCTTTGGAAATCATGTATCTAACAAAAATGTTATAACCAAAATATAACTTTAACAACTTAAGAAGAAAAGGACAAGTAACACAAGCATAAAATGGGCAAAGGACTTGAATAGACATTTCACCAAAGAGGGCATTGAGATGGCCACAAGACACATGAAAAGATGCTCATGTTATTAGCCATCCAAACCAAAAAACCCCCTCTGCCGTCAAGTCAATTCTGACTCATAGCAACCCTTCAGGAAAGAGTAGAATTGGCCCATAGGGTCTCTAAGACTGTAAATCTTCACAGAAATGGACTGCTACATCTTTCTTCCCTAGAGCAGCTGGTAGATTTGAACCACTTACCTTTTGGTTAGTGGAGTGCTTAACCACTGTGCAAACAGGGCTCTTCATTAGCCGTCAGAGAGATGCAGATCAAAACCAGTGTGATACCATTGTACTCACTGGGATGGCTAAAATAAAAAGAAAACAAGTAAATATTGGCGAGAAGGTGGGAAAATTGGAACTCTTATCCATTGCTGGTGGGAATGCAAGATGGTACAGCTACTGTGGAAAATAGTGTGGTGGTTCCCTAAAAATAGAACTACCATATAACCCAGCATTTCTACTCCTAGGTATATATCCAAAAGACTTGAAAGCAGAGACTCAAAATAGACTTGTATACCATTGTTCATTGCAGCACTATTCGCAATAACCAAAAGGTGGAAACAACTGAAATGCCTATCAACGGATGAGTGGATAAACAAAATGTACATGCATACAGTGGTATACTACTTAGCCAGTAGGAGAAATAAAGTCTTAATACATGCTATGTTATGGATGGAGCTTAAAGACATTATGCTGAGTGAAATACGCTGATGACAAAAGGAAAAATACTGTATTACCTTACTTACATAAAAAGCCAAGAAAAGGCAAATGTACAGAGACCAGAGTTTGTTAGTGGTTTCCAGAGGCAGTAGGGGGGGAGAAAGAGATTAACAGTGATGGAAAAATCACATTGATTAATGGAAGGGTTGTACAGCCAGTTGTTGTAATTGTTGTCACTAAGTTGTACACCTATAAAAAGTTGTGTGTTAGATACAACTGTTGAGGCTGCTTATGTACAACAAAACATCTCATGGAATTTGGTTCCTTGATTTGGAGTAGGGTGTGGTTTCACAGGATATCCCAATTTATCGGCCTAATAGTGCTTCTGTTCTATCTCCTAGTTTGTGTGCAATGCCTAGGATCTTAAAAGCTTGCAAGCAGCCATCCAAGGCATAATAATTGCTCTCTATTCATCTGGAGCAAAAGAGGAAGAAGGAAGAGTCAGGAATAGGAAGAGGATATGGAACATAGGGCTAATTGTCTCCATCAACAGCTTCCTCCTTTGCCATGAGGCCAGAAGAGCTGGAAGGTGCCTGCTACCGTTACTGAACATATTTTGATTGAAGATTCCATAGAAGAATCCTGATCAAGTGGAGGAATCTACAGATTTTCAAATTCTCATGGACTCTAGACTTTCTAGAGCCATGAAGGGTGGATGAACCCCTGAAACTATTGCCCTGAGATAATCAACCACAACTCAAAAGTTTAGATAGGAACCTTAGAGGACAGTGAGTTTATGTTAATGAGGGAGGAACAACTCAGGAGGGTGATGATGGTGTACAACTTGAAGAAAGTAATAAATTTCACTAAATTGTACATGCAGAAATTGTTGAATTGATGTGTTATGCTGTGTATATTCTCAACAACAAAATAAAATGTAAATTAAAAAAGGTTAAGGCAGCTGCTTCTGACATAATACCAGGGGATTTTTCATGGCATATGAGGGCTTCTACAATTTAAGGTAGTCAGTCTTCTGCCTCGGCAACCCCTCTGGATCTCAGGTATCTTCTGATCAATTTCCTGCACTGTGCTTATCGAAGGGCACCGTTTCTGTTACACAGAGATGCCCTTGGGGTACTAGAACTTAACCTGGCTTATAGGAAGTTTGTGAACCCATGGAAAGTGAATGCAACATGTATATATGTGATCAGAACTCACCAGCAACCCCAGGGTGCCCTTATCATAGGATGGGGACAGTGTGGAATTTTGGTCGGAGGGCCCTCTTAATTCTGATGGGCTGCTCACGCAAAACGCTGATTTATATTCCATTCTCAAATGCACTGATTCTAAACCTAAACCTAGTCCATAGACTGTACTGTACATAAAGATATGCCAAGGGAGGTGAGGCAGTTGTTTAAAGATGGAATCCTTGGATGGGTTACTTAACATCTCTGTGCCTCAGTTTATGTGTAAAATGTGGATAATAATAATTCCTACCTGGCAAGGTGGTTATGAGGAATAAAAGTACCTATGATGCTACCCGTTACTACCATTACTGTTACTAAAGTAGGTTGAGATGGTACATAAATGCACACGAGGAAATAACAATCCTAAGACCTCACTCCTAGAGCTTATGATACTGTATGTCGATCTTGTGTGCTTCCCCCTACCATCACTAACCTGACTTTTATGATACTGTATGTCGAGGGTAAGCATTTGATGATGTTAGCTGCTGTCAAGTTGATTGGTTCACAGCAAACTTACGTACAACAGAAAGAAACATTGCCTGGTCCTGCCTTATCCTTATGATTGCCAGCATGCTCAAGTCCGTTGTTGTGGCTCGTGTGCCATCCATCTCACTGATGGTCTCCCACATCCTTATTGGCCCTCTATGTCACCAGACACAATGTTCTTCTGCAGCAATTGATTCTTCCTGATAATACGTCCAAACCAAGTGAGTCAGGCAGTGTTCTGCTGTGATCCATAAGGTTTTCATTGGCTACTTTTTGGAAATAGATTGCCAGGCCTTTCTTCCTAGTCTGCCTTCCTCTGGAAGTTCCATTGAAACTTGTCCACCATGCGTGACCCTGCTAGTATTTGAAACATTGGTGCCATCGCTTCCAGCATCATAGCAACACACAAGCCACCACAGTACAACAAACTGATGAGTATTGGAAGCATCTGATTGGTATATTTTAAAAAAAGCTTTCTCATGATGCAGAGCCAGAGTTGAGAATGGCCCTGTACCTAAGGAAGTTTCTCTGCACTCACGAAACTTGTAGTCTGGTTAGAGAGACGTAAACATAATTGTAAACTGTGGTAACTAGGAGTGTGGGTGTAGGTGGACAGGAGTCAAAACTGGGACCTGGAGTAATCGGGAAGGCTGTCATAGCCTAGGCAGGAGATCAGTAGAGTGGGAATGGAGAGGAATGGGATTCTGGGACGTTTCTGGGGTAGGATAGATGAGGGTTGAGGAGCTATGGGGTATGGGAAAAAAGGAAGGAACATTCATCGTTGTAGGAATTTTGTAGCTGAAATATGTGTTGAAGCAGGTATGTGAAGTGTATTTGTATTGTTAGTGATTGCTTCCTTTTTCAGTTATATAATCACTGGTAGTAGCAGAAAAGAAAGAAAAGCATTTTTGAGTGCTGTGTGTTTTATATGTTTTTGGTGGCATATATAAGCTTTAACCTTTGCTTGAATTGAGGTAAAATCTTTTAGAAAATAAAGTTCTTAATAGTTACTGAAACCCTGACTTTGGTTGATGTTGCTACCAGTCATAGAATTTTAAAGGATATATTTAATTCCATAGTACATAAATGTATATATTTGGTTACCTGAAGTTTAATTATGAATTAAAGCTTTAAAAATGTGTGGGTTGAAGTGGCAAGTAGCAAATGCTAATTTTACCTATTTAAGTTAATTTTTTTAAGTAACCTTTGGCAAAATCATTATACATTTTCATTTACAGGATTTTTACCTCCTATAACTCCACCAGAAAAGTTTTTTCTTTCCCAGCTGATGCTGGCACCACCAAGGGAACTCTTCAAAAAGACCCCTCGCCAGATTGCATTGATGGATGTTGGAAACATGGGCCAATCTGTGGACATTAGTGGGCTTCAACTAGCCTTAGCCGGTAAGGAGGAATCGGTGGTTTGGGCATTGTGCGGTAGCACTAGGCGTCTTCCCTTGCTGCTGCTGCTGTTTTTATTTCTGCTTCACAGTCACTTTTTTGGCATCAGTTTTAGTAGAGCTGCCTGTCCTCTCAGAATTCTTCCCTGTGGTTGGACTGTGGTTAAAATTTAGTTTCAAAGTGGTATCAAGATAAAAAAGGTAATAGTTTTAAGATTGGGAAAGCAAATGATCTAGTTGATTACTGTATTTTGAACTGTCTTCCACTTGGCCATTAAATAAACAGCATATAGGCCTTCAGTATTGAAAAACAAGTTCTTTAATACAGAATTCTCTATGGGAGAATTGTATTCTCCCTACCTTTTGCTTTCTGCTCACCCATAAAATACTTAAGTGCCTCTTTGTTACACCTGTAAACAAATAAATGGATGCTCTGGAAACAAACAGAAAATAATAGGGGAACCTTCTTGAATTGGAGGTGGTCAAAGAGAGACTAAGTTCTGAAGGATAAGAAGGGGCACCTTTTGCTTCCCTGAGCTAAGCAGAAATATAGATGCATGGGTCTTAGCCCTTGAGATTGATTCATTAGGGAAATTCTAATGTATAGCCAGGCTTCTGAGCTCTTGACAAGGAAGGAGTGATTAACTGAACTGCAGTACTGAATTCATTTTGACAGGGCCTCATCCTTCTTGAGAGGCAAGAAGCCCCTGTGATATTTGGCTTCTTGTGTAAGGCAACATGCTTATATAAGAAAAGTATTTTGATAAACTTCCTTTTCCTTGGAACATTCTGAATCTCACTTTTTAACTATTGGGTATTAATAATACAGTAATAGTTATTTGCTGAAACCAAGAGAAATTGTTTTTAAGATTTTTAAGGTTAAAGATGCACGAAAGCACATACTAGCCACTACTGCCAGATACAATTTAAGATACAATTTAATAATGGAATAAAATGATTATTTCCTTCATTAAAGATAGTATGAAATAGTATATAGAGGTAATAGGCAATTTTAATCACTTTACCTTCAAAAGTGAAGCCATTATCTGATGGCTCTGGTTAATATTTAATAAAGTGAAAATAAAATCTGACCTCCCTTTCAACTTATGATGACTTGAGTCAGCCTCAGAAAGTTTTCACAGTACATTGAGCTCAGAGATGAATCTGTGACTAAAGTAAGGCTTGAGAAGTTCAGTGAAGTGGCTAAGCTTGCTTCAGAGCTTGAGGATGTTCTGACCCATTCATTTTCACAAATCCAAAAATAATTGATTACTTTTGTCGCTAGCTACACAAATCATCTCTGTGAAGGCATGTAAGATATCTTACAATGTGATCCCTGAACCAGAGATGTGTTTGTGAATTACGCGTTTTCTTGACTTTAAAAATAACAAACATAATTTAAACATAAGTAACTATAAGGGACAGTTTTCCCGTTTACTTCAGAAGTTTTATTAAAACTTCCTGACAAGTACGTACTACTTATTAGTTTACCACACTATTTAAAAGATTTTTCCTATATTTTAATCACCACAGGGTATTATCTGTCTTTGTGCTTTGCCAATCTGAGATGAAAATATGGCACCTTGAGATAATTTTAATTAGCATTTTTTTTGTTAAATGAAGTTGAACTTTTTTTCATGTAATGGTCTTTAATTGACTTTTTTGTAGCTCTGTGAAAATTAAGAATTTAGCTTTCTGTGTTTCTAACATTACAAAATCTAAAATACATTTTCTAAAAGATGCAAGTACATTTTAAGGAATTAGAGTGAAGTGAACTGAGAGAGCCACCCACCATGCAGGTTAAGAAACTGAGCACTGTCAGGATCTTGTGTGCTTCCCCCTACCATCACTAACCTGACTTTGGTGATAATCATTCTCAATCCAGCAGGCTTCTGTATGTAAGCAGTATAGTTTAACTTTGCATGTTTTTGAACATACATATGTGAAAGTGGAATTTCTGCTTTTTAAAAAATTTTCTTTTGTTGTTGAGAATATCCACAGCAGAATATACACCAATTCAACAGATTATACTTGTGCAATTCAGTGATACTGATTACAGTCTTCAAGTATACAACCATTGTCACTCTCCTTTTCTAAGTTGTTCCTCTACATTATCATAAACGCACTGCTCCCTAAAGTTCCTGCCTAATCTTTTGAGTTGTTGTTGTCACTTTGGTCCTATGTAGACTGTTCTTCTTTTTTTTTTTTTTAATTGTGATTTGGGTGAAGATTTACAGAGCAAATTCACTTTCCATACAGCAGTTCACATACACTTT